TTTATCATTCAATGTTATGGGTAACATTACAAATAATGAGAATTCCAGAACAATTAATTGTGCTTATGTGGAGCCTATATACAGACCAAGAGGCATTAGTTCAAAAAGAACAAGAGAATATTGTGTAGTTTAAAATCAGGAAAAATGTGCATATGGTTGTTTTCTTTCACCACACAATCTGAGAAGTTAGACTATATGAAGAAGAATGTGGCAACAGGATATGAGAAGACTCATTAACAATCTGTGATAGGCAGAAAACATAACTCTGCTTGCCAAAAGCAAAGATGACTTGAAGAACTTAATGATGAAGATCAAAGGCTTCAACCTTCAGGAGAGATTACACCTCAATATAAGAAAAACATAAGTCCTCACAACTGGACCAGCAAGCAACATCATGATAAATGTAGAAAATGCTGAAATTGTCAAGGGTTTCATTTTACTTGGATCCACAATTAGTCGGGGCCGACTCAATGGCAAATAACAACAACAACAACAACAATTAAAACATATTGAGGCAGGAGTCAAAAAATCAATGTATTGTGTTTGGAAAATCTCCTGCAAAAGGAAAGGTCTATTTAAAGTGTTATAGAGCAAAGATGGCACTTTAAGGACTAAGGTGTACCTAACCCAAGCCATAGTATTTTTAATTGTCTCATAGTCATGTGAAAGCTGGACAATGGATAAGGACGACTGAGGGGGGAAAAAAAATGATGCACTTGAATTATGGAGTTGATGGAGAGTATTGAATGTTCCGTAGATTGGCAGAAGAATGAATAAATATGCCTTAGAAGAAGTACAACCAGAATGTTCCTTAGAAACAAGGATGATGAGATTTCATCTCACATATTTTGGACATGTTATCAAAAGGAACCAGTCTCTGGAGAAGGACATACCAAACCAAAACCAAACTCACTGCTGTTAAGTTGGATCCGACTCATAGAGACTGCTTCTTGTGTTTCTGAGGCAGTATCACTACAGAAGTAGATGGCCCAACCTCCTTTCTGAGGAATGGCTGGTGGTTTTGAACTTCCAGCTTTCTGGGTAGCAGTCAAGTGCTTTACGCACCGCACCACGAGATATATGTCTTTAATTTCTAATTGGTATATTTTTAAATCTGTTAAGTAATTTTTAGACTTTCATTTTATTTGATGAAAATCTCATCTTTAATCTTATCTTTCTGCACACAGAAGCTATGTTATTGTTGCTGTTGTTGTTAGCTGCTGTTGAGTTTCTCTGACTCATAGCCACCATATGTACAACAGAATGAAACATGTCTGGTCATATGACATCCTCACAATTTTTTCTATACTTGAGTCCATCATTGTAGCCACTGTTACAACACTTCTTGTTGAGGATCTTCCCCTTTTTTACTGACTCTCCACTTTACCAATCATGATATCCTTCTCCAGGGATTGGTCCCTTCTGACAACATGTAGGTGAGATGAAATCTGGCCATTCTTGCTTCCACAGAACATTCCAGCTGCCCATTTTCCAGGACAGATTTGTCATTCTTCTGGCAGTTGATGGTACTTTTATTCTTCGCCAACACAACTCAAAAGCATCGACTTTTCTTTCTTCTTCCTCATTCATTGTACAGATTTCCCATGCATATGAGGTTACTGAAAATACCATGGCTTGGGGTAGGTACACCTTAGTGTTCAAAAATACATCGTTGCTCTTCAACACTTTAAACACAGAACATACAGTTCATTTAATGTCTGTATCAGACAATTCCCCTATCTGGAAATGCCTGAGTGTTGAGTTGTCTTGTCCATTGTTTTCTTGTCCATATTTTTCTCCCCATGTGCTGACTTTATATTTGAAATATTTTTTATGAAAATAATTTGAGAAATTGCATGATATTATCTTCCTATGAAGGATTTTGTGTTCTTTAGTGAGTAATCCCATGTTCTTTAGCCTGGAACCTGGGAGAACTGTAAATTAAGATTTTCAAAAATCTTTTCACATATGATATTTATAGCTCAAATCTAACGTTTTGTCCTTGCAATGTCTCAGTGACTTCTGTCTCAGCCTTATTTTTAAGAAGTAACCATTTGAAATCCTAGATATAAGCAGACTCTATTCCCTAAGACCTCCATACTGGGGACAACCTAGACGTTAATGTTTGTCCAAAATTTGTGAGATTGTCAGTAGCAGTTCAACCCTAATTTGCCATTTCTGGATTAGGAAATGCTCTAGGGAAAATGTTAACCCAATTTTTTTTATTTACTTCTCTTGATTTCCATATCACTATATATATTCCCGGGAGCTCTGGTAGCATAGTGCCAAAGGCGCTTGACTGCTAACCAGAAGGCTGGCTGTTCAAACCCATCAGCCACTCCTTGGAAGGAAGGTTGGGCAATCCTACTTCCATAGTGATACTGCCTCAGAAACCCAAGGAGGGGTTGCTGTGAGTTGGGGCCTACTCAAAGGCATATAACAACAACATATATATTCCCAGGAGCTCTGGTAGCATAGTGCCTAAGGCACTTGACTGCTAACGAGAAGGCTGGTGGTTCAAACCCACCAACCACTCCTCGGAAGGAAGGTTGGGCAATCCTACTTCCGTAGTGATACTGCCTCAGAAACCCAAGGAGGGGTCACTATGAGTTGGGGCCGACTCCACGGCAAATAACATAACATATATATTCCCAATAATTATTTAATAAGTTGTGAAATATGTAATGCTTTATGCAAATATATATATATAGAGAGAGAGAGAAGCTCTGGTAGCGTAGTGCCTAAGGCACTTGACTGCTAACCAGAAGGCTGGCGGTTCATATCCACCAGCCACTCCTTGGAAGGAAGATGGGGCAATCTACTTTGGTAGTGATACTGCCTCGGAAACCCAAGGAGGGGTCTCTATGAGTCGGGTCCGACTTGATGGCAAATAACAACAACAACAACAAATATATATACATATATATGTGTGTATATATATGTATATATATATATATAGAGAGAGAGAGAGAGACCACATTTTCAGGAAAACTTCAGTTAAGTTGTCTTAACATCTTGGTATACAGTTACTCTAAATGAAACTAATTGTACCCTAGTAACTTAAATATTAATTAGATAAATTATTCTGACACAATTTATTTTGTTGTTGACACAATTTATAGACTTCTATAATTAATCACTCATTTTTTTTCTTTATGGGACAACTAGCTAGTAATTTTTATTTATTTTTTTAAAATTAAAATGTTCTCCATTTAATCATCTACCTGATCATATAAACAATACAAACTAATTCATTCTCATAGCTGGTTGTAATTATATTATTATGAATCAAAGGAAATTTCTATGAATAATTCTCAAGTGGTGTAAATGTCAAACCATATATTAGTAATTTAAGATACTCAACAATACATAATATAATTGAAAGAACAAGAAACCTTAGTTCAAATTATGATTGTAATAAATATCAAGTTTGGTTCATTTGGTAAGCTAATTTATTTGCATTATATTTTCTTAATTTGTTAAGGCAGGGTCCCTATATCTCAGAAGTTTATTTTAAGACTTAAACTGATATAAGGAGATAATGGACAATTCCCATTGTTTTGAGGAGGTAATGTAATATCGTGTAGAAACATGGGATGTAAGATCACATTTCTACACGTTTGCATTATTATTAGTCAGATATCATTACAGTTCTGGTATATAACAAAGCACCTCAAGATTCACTGAAATACAACAATAATCATGTATTTCCTCTGCAGATTAATTGTATGGCTAATCTAGGGTAGGATTGGCTGGGATTGGGTCAAGGCTAGATTGTACAAGAATACTTTACATGTTCCTCATTTTCTGAGAATAGGGGCTACCTTGTTTGTGTTCAAGGAGCTCTGGTGGCATAGTTCCTAAGGCATTTGACAGCTAACCAGAAGGTTGGCAGTTCAAACCCACTCCACAGAAGGGGGAGTAGGCAATCTAGAGTGGGCATAAAGATTTGCTGCCTCCAAACCCTGAAGCAACTATGAATCAGGGGTTCATTGCCAACTCAACGTCAGGGAGATTTTGTGTGTGTGTGTGTGTGTGTGTGGTGTTTTTATACCAATGGGAGAAGTACAAGATTCCAACCACAGCTCTGCTGTGTCATGCACATTAATCACCCATTGATCAAGGAAAGTCATAACAAAAATGTGAGGCTGAGATCAGGAAATAGTACTCTGCTAATCTTGAAACCTACGAAAATGTCATAAATTGGCAATACACTTCTTTCATATACTTAAATCATATAGAATTGTGATGAAAAATATATTAAATGCTTACCAAGTACATTGAGAGGAGTGTAATGATCATGTGATGAATGCTTGTGTATATTTTGAGACTTACTTACAAAAATGAAATGATGGAAAAAAAGGAGTGGCTCATCTCACATTACTATTCTTTTGGACATTGATCCACATATATTTGAAAGGTGTAAGCAAAAGAGTTGATGTCACTGCCATTTTATACATGAATAAATATGCCATAATCTATATTCAGCTAAGATCAGTATCCAAAAAGAAAGTGCTAGAATCCTACTTTGAAAGGAATTAGCAGATGTGGTTTTCTCTACTAAGGGTAATCACACAAGATATTTGTCTTTGATGTATCTCTTTTATTCACTTAAATATTCTCTTCTGGAAACACACTCTGATACAATAAAATGTCACTAATGAGGAAACTGGTGAGATGAGTCAATGGATACTATAGAATGGAAATGCTTTAAAGTAGGAACTAGTAGAGTGAAGAATATAATTCCTGTCAAGTGGGCTCACATAAATAAATAATAAAAAACAAAAAAAATACTTGGCAAATGTTCATAAATCATATCACAAACATTGATAAGGAGTTTTCATTTACTTATTAAAAGGCAACCTTAGTTTAATATATCTTTTTGATTTATTCACTTGATATTTTTCTAATTAATTAAAGTACTGTGAACTGTGCATAGTACATATAAAACATCAAAGTTACAATGTTTTTACAGTTAACTATTTTCACTTTCCTTGTAGATAGTCTACATGGGCTGGTGTGAAGCACGGGAACAGGACTCCTTTCAGGACAGGATGTATTCTCCAACATTCCTTGCTCTAAGGGGATCAAGTCTTTACAAGTTTTTGACACCTCCAGTAAGCATTTCTATCCAAACTTACTAATTGTTTCATGTTGACACAACAGCTTGACATCCACTTAACAATAATTCTTAGCATATTACCAATGTATTTTGAATGAAAGATACAGGAAAAAAATAAATTAGTCAAAATGTTTCTAAGAATATCATTTTAAAACTGACCTAATCTTAAACAATTGCTTTATCACCCTTGAAAAATCTGCAAGTACATTTATGTTTGGGTAGTGTATCTGGAAAATAATGGACCAAATTATAATATTTTAAGACCTCTGGTGGTATAGTGCCTAAGACATTTGCCTGCTAACCAGAAGCCTGGCAGTGCAAACCCACCAGCTACTCCTCAGGAAGAAGAAAGGCCAATCTACTTCTGCAGAGATACCACCTCAGAAACCCAAGGAAGGGTTGCTATGAGTCAAAATCCACTTGAAGGCAGATAGTGATAATATTGTTAAAAGCCCCATGGAGAATCTGGAAAGAAGATTTTAAGAAATATATGTATACATGTGTCAATTTATTTTGTTATTAAGATAATAAATATTAGGGAAATTAGTTTATAAAGGAAAGATCAGAAGTATATGGATATGTTTATCAATTTCTTCTCCTTAAAAGGAATTTGAGGAAATCATCTTACTGTTGCTTTATTTTTAGCAAATAATAATTAGTAAACATCAAAATTACAGCATCATGCCCTGCATCAGTGTTGAGTCTATACCAATCTTAGCAAAACTTCAATGAGTTAAAAGAGTAGATTAGAGGATTTTTCCATTGCTAAAATCAGAAACTATCAAATCCTATCATTTATCATTATGATAGTTAAAATGGTGTAGGACCTAAGGTATTTAACTGCTAACCAGCAGGCTGGTGGTTCAAACCCACCAGCCACTCCTGAGAAGGAAGATTGGGCAATCTACTTCCCGAGTGATACCAAAAAAAAAAAAACTCACTGGCTATGGAGTTGGATCTGACTCACAATGACCCCTACTTGGGTTTCCGAGGTGGTATCACTACAGGAAACTCAAGGAGGGGTCACTATGAGTCAGACCTGACTCCATGGCAGTGAGCTTGGCTTGGCCTGGCTGTTTCACAAGTCAGTCTGAATCAAATAAATAGTATTTTTGATGATCTCTTGTAGTCTATATTCTAGGCACTGAACTTGCAATAAATAAATATGGTTACCTATTGTACCTAAGGAGCTCTGGTAGATAGTGCCTAATGCACCGGACTGCTAATCAGAGAGCTGGCTGTTCAAAACCACCAGCCACTCCTCAGAAGGAAAATGGGGCAATCCACTTCAGTAATGATACTGCCTTGGAAACCCAAGGAGATATTGCTATGAGTCGGGTCTGACTCGACGGCACATAACAACAACAACAACATTGCACTTAAGGTCTTACTTTTGGAAACATATACTTTGCACAAACATAGACTTTCAAAAAATATTTATTTAAAATAAATGTGAAATGTCAGATCTCTCACTTGCAGTTTTAATTTTCCACAAGGTCTAGAAATTATCCAGCCTGACCTACTGCTATGTTGAATATCTGTCCTCAAAAACTTCAAAGCATCAGGCAGTCTGGGAAAAATTAATATTCTACTCTATTTATACTGTGAATAATGTCTTAGGAATAGACAGACAGATCCATGTTCAAATATAAATAAGTGTGATGACTTCTTGGTGCTTTCAAACTGTCATGAAAGAACAAACTTTTGATATAAATTGTTTTGGTTTTTAAAAAGACAAAGTTAGAGTTCTTCTCAGTACATGGTAGTAAACTGAGTAAAAACATTACCTGTGTATAACGTAAATGCTTAAGTTATCTCTGGAAAATATGCACATTATTTCAAATACTGAGAGCCATTGGTAATATAATTTAAAATTTTACCTGAAATAAACCAAATAAGATTTGAAACACTGACATGGCCTAGAATGAAAGAAATCAAAACATTATATATGGAAATGTTTTAGAATAATTTCACAATTTAGAGAATAAATAGACACAGCAATGAATATTTCACTTATTATGCACCGTGTTATGCAAATAAAACAGAGAATGTATAGATCATTTGTCTAAATTATTTTTTCATCTTTAAAGGTAACCACCTGGGATTGGACCCGAGCTGAGAAAACATTTTCTGTTTATGAGATTATGTGCAAAATCCTCAAGGTACGATCAATAAGAAATGATTCTCCTCACCAGTGATTCTGAGCATATTATGTGGTGCATAAAAAAAAAGAAACCATATCTATGTACGATGAAGATGATAGAGAGAATGCCGAGATTGCTCAGAACCTTGTAGTGTTGCAGGGAATTCCTACGAAGATCAGTGTTCGTGCAGTGGGAGAGGGATGAGCAGAACCTTGGAGGGAATAGAAAAGGAATAGAAAGTTCAACTGGAAATAATCTGAATTTAAGCCTTAATTGTTGCTATAGCTTTTGTTTGTTTATTTGTTCTTCTGATTGAAATAGAGAAATATGTGGATAAGTCTTGAGATTAGAAAT